AGGAGCCCATGTGTCCTGGCAGATCCGCGCTGAAATTGCTCCTCACTGCGGCTCCAGATTGAAGGATTTTTCCAAGGAAAGGCTCTCGAGTGCAACCATTTCTTTTCAAAGCTGACAAACATTTCTATGGCTCCTGCCTTGCAGCGGTGGAAGGTCACGGGCTCCCCTCAGTCCCTTTGGGTCCCTTTTCCGCAGACGAAAGGTCTCACTGAGCAACTCAGCCTGGAGACAATGGTCCATGAAGAGCCTCATGGCTTTCCAAGAAAATAAAATCTGTCTAAATCATTTAAAGCAGGATAACGCCTTCTTCCTTCGTGGAAAAAAAGTGTCTTTCACTGCCTGTCTTATCTTTGTTATGAAAAAAAAAACGCCTTTCATTCAACTTCAGCACAATGATCTGGTCCTACCAGCCCTAGACATTCCCAGTGCCCGAGCCCATGTCTCCTAGCATTGGGTTTCCAGCATGAATAATTGCTCTGCACAGGCTGGCAGTGGGCAGGAGCAGGTTTTGGTTTTCCTGACATCCCCACCACGGGCTGGCTCCGTTCCCCGCGCCGCGCTGGGGGAAGGTGGGGACTGAGCAAACAGAGATGGGTGCGGTGCCACAAAATCCCAAAACGGGCACTTCTGCCAGGTTCCCTCACTGATCCAAGGATGGAGAYTCCAGAATTCCTCCAGCWGCCCAAAATTTGGGCACAGTCCCGTCCTTCCAACCTGTGGCTGCCTCCATAACCGGCAAAATCCGAATTTCTGTTTTATTGACCCCACTGCTGAGCAGGAGCTTCCTGCAACAGAAGCTGCAGGAAAACACTTCTGCTGAAGTCTCCAAAGTGTCACCAGCAGCAAATCATCCCCTTYGTAGCCCTGGATAATTTGTAAGGACGTTGGGAGGCATCTGCCAGGGTGTAAATCACTGGCAGCACACAATTGATTCATGGGGAATTTCAGTGAGTTCACTCTMAACTCCAAACAATTTCCACTGGGCTGATTTTAGAAAATGTCCCTTCCCTTGGGAGGAAAGCATCTAAATCAAGCTCAGTTTCAAGCCACAAAAAAATTAATGGCAGGTATTGCCATCCCAGCGTGCAGGAAGCTCGGCACATAAATCCCATCGCAGATGATTTTACGCATCACACAAGATTCAAAATTTATATTTAAAAGCTTGCCTAAAGTAGGAAAACCTCATTCTCACAATTTCATTTTCATTTAAAGAAAGCCAAATATATTAAAATAATCAGAAAATCACGGGCTTATAAAAACATGTACCTTTGATAATTGTATCATCACAGGAAAAGTTTAGATATATCAATTTTTAAAYGGGGTAAAGTCCTGCTCATCCAGGGTGAAGGAGTTCAGAGCATTTCTTTGTCACCACCTTGTCTAAAGGATGCAAAAAAGGGATTGGAGACTCCTGGAAGGATTGGAGACTGATGGAAGAACATATTGTCACAGCAAAGGGAAAACTATTTGTGATTTAGTAAACTAATCCAAACTTCAATTGATCCACTTTGTATTTTCTTTCTCTTTATTTTCCAACAATTTAGGGCATTTCTTTTTAATTAAATACAAAGGCCTTCGCACGTTTCAGAAAATTAATCACTTTTGGCATTTATTAGCTATTCATTTCTGTTTAAAACWTGTTTTATAATTCATTAAAGTACCTCAAAAATTAAATTCTTAACAGCCGYAGGCCCAAATTATATTTAAGTAAGAAAATTAAGCACAGTAATAAACAGTGAAGAATTCTGAAATATTAATTTGGCCTGTAGCATTTCAAATGTTTATTTGCAATAATTAATTTGAAACCAAGTTTACATTGCCTTTGTCAGGAGTTTGCTGGGAACTTTCAGTTACATTACTGAGTTCCTCAAATCCGCCCTTTTTTCCTCCCTAAAAAGCACTGGCAGCGCATTTAAATGAATTTTTTCAGCTATTTTGGAGTTTGACCATTTTCCATGGGGCACAGGGAATGAGCAAACCCACGATTCCTGGGYTGGTGCAGGGGGAATTAGCAGCTGGAGCTGTTAATTAACTTGAGGTTCATTTTCTGCTCCCCCATCTGCAGCAGGAGCCTGAGCAGCACAAGGAAATCCCTTCTTTGGGTTGCAAGGGACCTTTAAAACCCATTTAGCCCAAGCCTTTACCATGAGCAGGGACACTTTCAGCTTAATCCTGCTGTCATTTTCTAACCTGGCAAAGAAAGATCTTAAATAGTTTTTTATTCCTAAATTGTTGCCTTGCTATCCTAATTCCATGAGAGTTTTTCTGCGGCACGGTTTACTCCAGATGCTGAACTCTGGAGTATCAGAGCATCTTAAATTGCAGCAAATTTCCCAATGCAAAGAGTAAACGTGCGCTAAATTATATTTACAAGCACACAGGTTTTCGAGTCACCTTTCCTAGAGTTGTGAGATATTAAACTGAGCCCGGGATGGTTCCAGGCGGGATCGGTGCCGGGGAAKGCTCGGGAGCCGCTGGCGGGGCGCTGCCTCCATCTCCTGGGGGATGCGGGGAGAGCAGCGCTGCGCCGGGAGAACGCGGATCGGGCACGGGAAACACCGGGAATAGGGGAAACAAACACCGGGAATCCGGGAAACACCGGGAATAGGGGAAACAAACACCGGGAATGGGGCACGGGAAACACCGGGAATAGGGGAAACAAACACCGGGAATGGGGCACGGGAAACAGCGGGAATGGGGCACGGCAAACACCGGGAATGGGGGAAACAAACACCGGGAATGGGGCACGGGAAACACCGGGAATGCGGGAAACAAACACCGGGAATGGGGCACGGGAAACAGCGGGAATGGGGGAAACAGCGGGAATGGGGCACGGCAAACACCGGGAGTGCGGGAAACAAGAGCCCGGGAAATGCGGGAATGCGTGAATCCGGGAAACAACGGGAATGAGAGCCCGGCAAACACCGGGAATGCGGGAAACAGGGGGAATGGGGCACGGTAAACACCGGGAATGCGGGAAACAACGGGAATGGGGCACGGCAAACACCGGGAAAGAGAGCACGGGAACCACCGGGAATGCGGGAAACACCGGGAATGGGGCAAACACCGGGAATGAGAGCTCAGCAAACACCCGGAATGAGAGCACGGAAAACACCGGGAATGCGGGAAACATCGGGAATGAGAGGCCGGCAAACACCGGGAATGCAGGCAAAGAAAGACTGGGAATGCGGGCCCGGCAAACATCGGGAATGCGGGCACGGGACCCGCACATCCCCCGGGACAGCCCGGACCGAGCCAGCGAGTACCGGGACCGGCGCAGCAGCGGCGGCATCCCGAGCCGGGCACAGCCCCACAGCGGTTTTGGGGTCATTGTGACTCTGTTACCACCCCGTACCTGTTCCCCCAGAGCAGAGAAATGAAAAATTGCACCCCATTCTCCACGCTGGGCCTGATCCCTGCTCCCCATCCCTGCTCCCCATCCCTGCCTCACCAGGGAATGAGGAAATTCAGCCCCAAACAAGAGAAGATGACACGGTACCTATTTCTAGCATCTTGCTCTGTTATCAATTTTCTCTTTAGTTGCCAACACCTCCAAACGGGGCTTTCAGCACAGGCAGGTGCCTGGTTAGGGATGCAGTACCTGAATCAGCACTCCCCAAATTCAGTATCTGGKTTTTTCAAGAGGCTCACAAGGCGCTCCAGCCTCTGGCAGAAATTGCCCAGAAGTTCTGGAGGAAAATTATTAAGCCAAAGTTAAAATAAATAAAGTTAAATCCGTATTTTGGCAAAACTGCCAACAGAYACCTGCTCCCTCTTCCTCCCACTGTGGGGGCAACCAAAGGTAGAATATCTTCTTTACCTTAAAACATTTTGCACCCCATAAAAGCACAAAAGAGACGTGGGAAGTGCCTCTTTACAGCCATAAAGCTTCAGAGATGAATCATGGGGAAAACAGCGCCAGAGAACCAAAATTTGCAGGAAGACAAAGGGAGCAGGATGAGATTGAGTCACAGTCTGGAGACTCTTCTACACTTGGCTCATCCCTGTCCTTGGCTTCTCAAAACATTCCTAAGGTTGGCTTTTAATCCAGGACTTGCCCCTTGTCCCACCAGCAATACCTTCACCAAGCCTGCTGATCTCAATACCTGAGACTTAGAGTTTCTTAATATTATTTTAGAGTCATTGTCCAATTTGATGATTTTTTCCTGCCTACCTTGAAAGAAATTAAGCAAATCACCATCTTAGAACCGTTTTTTACCTACTGCCTGTTCTACAGCTTCAGTCACTCCCTTCTCTGACACCAGTGCTGCTAAAAGCAGTGTCTTGTGGGAACAAACAGCATCTGGAGATGGATTTGAGGCAAACATGGGAAAACCTTCCTGTGCATTCGAAGTATCTATGAACCATTTTGAATACAAACAGCACCAGCAGTTACCAAATACTTCAGGAGGATTTTGAACTCAAATTTTTAATGTCCTTCCTGTCACTTGTAATGCAAGTGTCTGTTTTTGAAGGACCAGATCCTTGCAGGAAAGTAATTYCTTAATATGTGAAGTCAAATTTAATAGGTACCTAAAAAACAGAGAGGAAGATGATCCCACCCTGAGGTAACACATCAATCCCACCACTGAATGTCTGTTTTACTGCAAATGTGGCATGGAACACTTGACTGAATATAAATTTATAAGTAGCTCTTGGTGTATGTGAGATTTTTGGCAACGTTTATGAACTAATTCACATACCTTTAAATTTAGGAATGTTTGCTCATTGTTTTTTATATCCATTTGAAAAACAAGAGCACGTGAACTTCCAAARCACAAGTGATGGATTTCTGTCAAAGTATTATGAATTTGCAACCCTTTTATTCTGGTACTCAAGGAACTGCCAGCTAATTAAAACTGTACCTTTATGATTATTCAGGGAGTTTGACAAAAATAAATACAATTTTGAGGGTGTCTTTGGTGTGTTGTAATTGAAGGCAGCCAATAAAAACAYCACTGCACTGCCAGACCCAGCCTTGCAAGAAAAGGAGAACGCAGTACAATGCAAACTTTAATGTCAATATATACAGAGCTTTAAAGAAAACATTTCTTTTAAAATTAAATGAAATAAATACAGTATGATACAAAATCCACAATATGCTTAAGAGAAAGAAATGACAGTTACAATATCTGATAACGGGGACCTTGTGTAGAGTTTCATCTTTGAAGTACCTCAGAGAGCATGGAATTCATTGCACACTGTTCTCAATTAATGCCCTTTATGGAGATTTAGCCACGTGCCAGGAGAGTTTCAGCTCTAACCAGAGCATCAGTGCAAGATGCCAAAGTGCTTGGGACATTATGACAATGCAATTAATTAATTAGCAAACACTGCTCAAAAGCCTAATGCAAAACACCCAAACCTGAACACTCAGTCCTGCAAAGCAGATCCACCTAAAGCATCCTCAGTCCTCGTGTGAAAAACCCCACAAGAGGATTCAAGGTTATTCAAACTCACTATTGGTAATAAGCCATTGCCCAAGAAGTCCTAATTAAGATATAGAATCAATTAAGTATCTTTTAAAGCTTTCAGAGGAAGTTTGCTTTCATTACATAGGAAAAAACCAGCTGCTGATGATTTTGGGTGGGACTTTCTAATTATGCAAATTATAACAATACTTAATCAGCTTCAGCCATACATTAAGGGTGGGGGTTTTCAAATYTGTATCCATTCTTCTATTCCCAAGGAATATAATTTGGGGGAAAAAATATTTTAAAAAATAACTGTAGCAGGGACAGAGATGTTGATGCAGAAGGCTGGTGTGGTGTGAATGAAGTGCAGGGGTGTTACCAACAGCTATCAGTACACACCCAAGAGGGGTTTGGAATTTTAAGCTTTTAAGGAGAATTATATGTTTTTAACCCTATAGGGCGCCTACAGGATTRCATATGGACTCCATTATGATCCCAGCTTCAGAAGCTTTCTGGAAACTTTGAGAAAGATAAACCTGCTCCTTGCTCCCCTCCCACAAATATTTGCAAACTTTTAGTTTGGATAGGACTTAAAAACTTAAGTGCTACAGAAGTACAAAACCCCTGTGTTTGCATTGATATTTTAACCTAACTCCACTGATACAAACCAGGAGAATTATTACAACCTTGTGTAATTCATTTAACTCAGCTCTACAGACCAGTCTCGAAGTACATTGCAAGAACTCCCACCTGCTGAAGTTTGTGAGAGGTTATTTCAGCTATTGGACAGATGAAGATCASCTTTGGAAAAGGAACTGAAAATGGAAGACAGAATTCAAGCTCAACTGACCTGGGTGAGGTTTCTGATGCCTGTTTTGGCTGCAACATTCAAACAGAGGCCTCAAACCAACAGCAGGCTCAGAGCTCTGCACCTCAAGCTCCTGGGCAGGGGGAATTCACTGCTTTTGGGCAGAATGGGAAAAAGCAGCARAAGCACAGCTGAGTGGTTTGGCTGGAGCCAGCCAGGCAATGCTCTCAGGAAGGGCACTCTGCTYCCCACCACAGGCTCATGCTGCTGCCAGAGTTTTTGGATATGGAATAGAAATACAACAGAGCTCCTCACTTTTTATCCAAAGGATAACTGAAGGTACAAACTGAGATATTGTGAAAGAACAACAAAACATGTCCTGGAGCTCCAGCTCCAGTGGGAATCTGCTCTGTGTGCACCAGAGAGCTGGAACTTACTGATAATGACCATCACCAAACACAAGAGCAGGAGCTTTTCTGCCAGGAAGCCAAAGCCAAAGTATTTTATAATTTAAGATTTAGTTCTGTGGAAGTGCCTTTACTCTGAAGGCCTATTTCTGTGTAATTATGAGTCTGTGAAAATTTTACTTTTTTCCTCAGTAAGGCAATAAGAACATAACCAGTTTGTAAACTTGAACTGTGCCCAGATGATATGAAATGATTCCCACCAACCTTTCACTGCAGCCAGAGCACATTCCCATTACCTGTTCCTCCATCTCAAACCTTTCACTGACAGCTCATGAGCAGACCATGCTACTTTTAGATATCAAAACCTAAGTTGGRAAAGAAAGGGATGAGAAACAGGCAAGAAATTCCCAAAGGAGCATCACAAAGATGATCRTTAAATACAGTAAAAGTAAACTGCAAGTGAACTCTTTCGTGTTCCTGCATATCCCAAATATTTCAAGGACTGATATGCTGAAATAGTCAGAGCAAGGGAATTTTTCCCCCCAATCAAGGATTACAATATTGGCATACCAGGGTACACTGGCCTGTCAGATAYAACATATCCACATTTTCCCCACGAYAAGACAACTTTGTCATGTTGCAGTCACCAAAACTTTGCTTTTATCCCGGAAGTACCACTGGCACCAAAGGCCAGAGGTGACACAAAACAGGGATAACTTACAGATGTTTTAAATACTCCATTATGAATCAGAACATCCACCTTGTTTGTGTTCTTTTCCCCTCACAACCTTCGTGCTGCACATTAACTTGAATCCCTTCAGCTGCTTCCAACTGCTCTTGTGCAAAATGCTTTTAAGGTGCTTATATACTGTGGTGCTTCTAAGCAAGCTAAAAGAAAATGCCAGCAGAAACACTGTTAAATGATTCATGGGTAAAGCCATTAAAGACCGGCTACTGCCTTACAGGAAAGCTGAAGACAATTCAAGTTTGACATTTTCATTGTGTTCCAGGCCTTGCATTACCTCTTATCCCCAACACAGCTTTTAGAACTACATTTCAACCCACATTATACCTTGACCTGGGCTCAAGGGGTTTAATTTCCCTCACTTTTGCTTTTTTTTTTTTTAAATTCAAATTTTTCTGGCAGCCATCTTTAAATTTACATAAAAATGACCCTGACAGAGTGTAGACAAGAGGTTTCCAGGCATTCTTGCTGGCAAAGGTCTCCAGKAAGGAAAAGGAGGATGAACCAGCTGCAGAAGGGGCAGATTCTGTACTGAACAAGGAGCTTTCCAGGGAGCAGTTGTGTTCTTTGATAAGCTTTCAAGCATTTCAAACAGGCACCTCAAAATTAGGCACAAATGGCCCCTAAAGCTTCCAACATCTATCAAACACTCAAGAAATTCCATCTGGGGGATGTTCTGCGTGATACAAAGAGCACACCTATGTTTGCTATATTGTTAAGTCTCAAATCTACATATATTCATACCTAACTATTTGGCCAGATAATGTCCATCTTCCCCCACCACAACAGAAGAAAGCAGCTTATCTAAAAATACTTCCAACACCACCAAGTCCTTCACAGGTATAAGCAAAAACCAGCCAACACCTCTTGTGAGATCTGAGTTATCACCATCACTCCTGGTGCCTGGGCCAGAATTCTCTTGGAAGTTTTTTTTTCCTGTCTTAAAATGCTGATTTCTGTCAGCCMCAGGGTCTTAAAATTGAAAATTTAATGATGACAAATGAGTCTGAACTATGTTTGACTTTTGGTCACTTCACAGTCTAATGTCACTAATATATTTAATATTTAAAGTCATCCTGCTATGTCACTACAGCTGCTCAGTGTCTACAACTTTTTGAAAACACTTCTAAATGTATTCTCTGAATGAACTACCAGCAGTTAGCATTGGTTTTGAGTCAGGAAACACCAAGATAATTCTGGCCCTGAAATTAATTTCCTCTCCATCAGAGTATTTAGGAACAGCTGAAGTCCTAATACCAGACAGAGAGGGTGAATGAATGAATGGTGGCCAYAGGATGCTGACAGGAATTTGTCCATAACTGTGAAATTTCTTGGTCAGAATTCCCTTATCTGGGCACACTGCAAGGCTTATTTATTTGCCCAAGCTACTCCTACAGTTAGGCAAAGAGAAATTTGCATTTCTGTTCTGTAATATTTGTACATGCGGCAAGAGAGTCAGAGAGAAGCAACGTTCTATTAAAAAAAAATCAAATAAATAAAAAATAAACYCCAAGTGCCAAGTTGGTTACAATAAAGTGTCAGTTTGTCTTATATGCCAAATAAACCTAATATTGGGTGTATTCAGTGGAAAGGCTGCTGAGGAAAATAGCACAGGAGTTGTACTAAAGGATGGGAAATATAAATGATACTGTCTTGAAGTGGTACCAGTGCTTGTGAGAGCCTTAATTCTGACRGTTTATGCACATATTGACTTTGCAGCTCAGTGCAGGACACAAGTTGTGATAGAAATGGTCATTTTCCTGCTAGAGGCCACAACCAGCATTTCTTTTGGSTCACAAGTGATCAAATTGAAGTGCAGGATCAGGCACATCCCTTTGGTTTGTATTTGCACAGGAACTCCTCAGTCACTGGMACCATGCAAACACAGACCTTCCAAACCAGCAGTGATGAGTGAACACTGGCACATCACATTGCTCAGCTTTGCATGACCTCATGGACAAGGAGAAGGAATTGAGTTGAATGAATGAAGTGCCCAATTACAAAATTCAGAATTTGCCCTTTGCAGCAGGGTCTAAATRTGTGAAGCAAAGGAAACTCACACTGACACTTTATGTACAACTTGGTCATTGGCACCGGTCCCCTAAACCATGTTTTGTTTTTAACTGAACCCAGCAAAACTATACAGAATGTGAAAGAATATTTGCAACAGATCTCAAAGGACAGTGTAGAGAAATYCATTATGGTGTACCTGATGTTTAAATTAATTTAACAGATACGGCCTGTAAAACAAACACAGTATGAACCTGTGGATTTTTTTCTTTTCTTTTTAAAAAAAGGACTTTTACAGAATTCAAGTAGTGTAGCAGGAAACCATAGATGCCTTTTGATCACAGGTCAGGCAAAACAGAGCCACTTGTTGGGTTTCCCCCTTGCTTGTGTCTGCTCAGGTGTCCCAGTGGATCTATAAGTCTGTGGATGTGAGCTTTTTCATGCTCCGTCGCTGAGCTAAACTGGAGGCTGCCACRGGCTCCAGCACTGGCTGAAATGTCTTGTGATTCAGTGCAGAATATGTAGCAGCCATGGCTCCCTAGAGGAAAAGGAAATATATAATACTTCATATATATATATTTAAAAATATAAAAGTTTCAATCAGAAAATAAAGCAATTAAACATTAATTACTCAATTAACTCCATTAAAACCAAACAAGACTTATTATGCCAGGTCGTGGGAATTCTTCACAGTTTGTTAGGAAAAAAAACAGTCACTATTGAATCCTTCCAATGTCTAAGCATGGGTGTCAGACATTTCTTTTTCTTTCCTTTGTATTTCTTTTGTATACCTTAGAGGTAGGAGTCATCTGTTAATGTAGGTCAGAATTTGTATCTTTCAAGCAAGATTAGCAGCAATTTCTCAAACACAGCCACTTCAGTGGCTRTTCAGGTCCTGACTTAAGGTAGTTCTTGAGTTGTCTCCTAAGAAAATACATAGAAAAATCTCTTCCTTTACACAGAGGTGAAAAAGAGTTATTTACCAATAATTTGGAGAGGGACTTTATACAAGGGTATGTAGGGCCAGGACAAGGGAGAATGGTTTCCAACTGCCCAAGGGCAGGCTTAGATGGRTATTGGGAAGGAATTCCTGCCTGTGAGGKKGGMRRGSCYYKG